AATCGCACATTTTTGATCTGTTCTAAATGTACCTTAGAGGAATATTTTTCAAGTTTTTAATACTCTTATCAACATATGAGTGGAGAAATATGCTTTATGCTAATGTTTATTATCATTTGAACAATGAAAAAATACTCTCATGAATATTAAACACAACAACTTCTGAACATTACAAATACACTGTGTGTGTGTGTGTGTGTGTGTGTGTGTGTGTGTGTGTGTGTGTGTGTGTGTGTGTGTGTGTGTGTGTGTGTGTGTGTGTGTGTGTGTGTGTGTGTGTGTGTGTGTGTGTGTGTGTGTGTGTGTGTGTGTGTGTGTGTGTGTGTGTGTGTGTGTGTGTGTGTGTGTGTGTGTGTGTGTGTGTGGTGTGTGTGTGTGTGTGTGTGTGTGTGTGTGTGTGTGTGTGCGTGCGCGTGCGCGTGCGCGGCTGGCAACTATGTGCAACCTCAAGGCATGCTCGAACGGGAGCTGCCTGCACGCTGCAATCATGTTGCGCACTATCCGTGCTGAGTGTGCTGACTTCTCGTACAATGTCCCACTGTCTGGCTTCCTGCATAAAGTCAAGTGCTCGGCGCAGTTGTCGGCGAAATGTCGCTCCTCTGTTTTCATTTAAGCAGCTCCTTATATCCGTTAGCGCAGCTAGCTAGCACCAGATGCTAACAACAACAATGCACGTAAGGTCTCTCTCGCTCGAGCCACACATACACACACCCTCCCGGTCCTCCCAATAGCCAGTCGGTGCCTGCCGGTGAGCATGGAAGTGTGGTCTACCACAAGCGGGCAGCAGGAGCGGGGCTGTCAGCATCAGCTTGTAGATGGTATTTCAAACTCGATGCGCTCTGAAACTACGGGGCGGCCGAGGAAAAAAAATACACATGCGTTAATCGCGTTAAAATAATTAGTGGCGTTAATTTTTTTTGCGTTAACGCGTTAACTTGACAGCCCTAATTATTTTACAATATTTCCTCTGCATTGGATTATTATCAGATATGGTAATAACTTCATAATTAACTACGCCTGAAAGCATAAGTCTAGTAAATAATTGCAAGTCTCTTCAGTGCCCATCTCACAAAATGAGATGCATTGTGGGACATGTAGTTTATGGTGCTCCTGTAAAGCGGCACGTGACCTTATAATAAACGTATTATATTATTATTCTTGTGGGCCACATCAAATGAAGTGGCGGGCCGGATTTGGCCCCCAGGCCTTAAGTTTGACACCCTTGCATTAGAATGATAAGCACTCTTTTCTTTTACTGTGTGGGATTAAAGGGGCAAATGAATGAAAATAGATAAGCTAGCTTTTGTTATTCGACCTGCAAGAGACCAACACAAAAGGAAAAGTCATGTTTTGGTGTGTGAAGTGTTTTTGTGTTGAGACAGAAGGAGAAAAGATGAAAGGAGTGGATAAAAGGTTAATGACTTTAGGATACAGTTTCGACACAATGCGTCTCAAATGTGTGATTCTACAGTAACTCTCTGACTCGCTGCAGGAACAGTTTGCCTTCCTTTCCAAACACACTGAATTGAACCCCGCAGTTCCCCTCAGCTCTACAAAGCGTCTTTTAGCTCATTCTTTGGGTTTCGCAGCGGGTAACTCTACTGTTTTGGTTTACTGTTATTGTTTTTGGCCGCAGCTGTTTTCACCACAAAAGCTAATAGCCAGCACCAGACAGCAGACATATTTATCGATTGACCTCTGAACTCACATAGTGCAGCATTTAGAAGAGCCAGATATTTTTCTCATGAGTTGGTGGAGACCTAAAACTTTATTTATTACTCTTCTCGTCGTACTTGTATAATGACAATAAATGCTTCTAATTCAAATATTGAGCAGATGGCCTGAAACAAGTGGCTAATGAAAATGAATGTTAATCCAAAGGCACAAAAAAGGGTTTGTTTTTAACGTTTTGAGGTCCACTTTTTAAGAAATGTCCAACCTGGTTGACAAAAAACACAATTACTAAAAAAGGAAAATAACTGCGCTGTTGGTATACACGAGTATCGACTTTAATAACCCAAACAATTCAATCTTTCATTGTCTGCCATTATGAATCAATATAATGTTTAATGTTTTCTAAATTCCTCACCACACATTTCGGAGCTTCTTCTGAATCACTTTTTGGTCTAGAAAACGATCCACTTTGTTTCGCTCCACCGGAGGGAACGTTAGCTAGCTAGAGTTTGCTAAACGAGAACATCGAACCTTACTGGTCTCGAGATAATGCTTTTCTTTGGTGTGTTTTCTTTACGAACGTAGATTTAAAAAAACGTTTCTGCAATACCTCCGATGCCTTCTAGATTCTGCTTTGGGGCCCTTGTTAGGAATAAATGCTGTATTTAACATCAAAACACTGCTTAAAAAGAGTAAAAGCTATTGTTGGCTATTATTTTTGGTATATGTCTATTTTATGTGTTGTCTTATAAAAGTGTAGTTTTTAAAAAAGCGATTCTTAACTCATTGATTAATAGTATACTGCAGCTTCATATAGATACATTTACAACATTTAAAGAATAGTTTTTATTTCGCTCTGATAGGGCTGCTCAATTAATCGTATTTTAATCGCGATTACGATTATGGCTTGCAACGATTACGAAAACAACGTAATCGAAATAAAACGATTATTTTTTTATTATTATTATTACTTTTTCTTTTAAATAATTTTATTTATTTTTTGGTTTTTCAGTTGAATTATACTTAAAGTTCGGGGTAATCAACTGTTAAAAACATACTGTTCACATTTTTGTTCTCCAATAAATGGATGTTTTCAAATTCAATGAATAATCGCATTTAATAATCGCAATTACAATCATTGACCCAAATAATCGAGATTATGATTTTTGCCATAATCGAGCAGCCCTACGCTCTGAGTTGTATCACGTTTTGTTCCCATTCATTCATGATTTATGACAGCTTTGAGAATGATTTACAAGTTCTACTGGCCTGCAACCTTGTGTTTAGATATTACTCGTACAAAATCATGTCAAATATGAGTGTGTTTGTCATATGAACCTAACTTGTCTAAGGCTGATCAAATGACCGCACGTTGGGTCTCAGTTCGTGGCATAGGAACGCTGTGCTGAGGAAAGTTGAGCTACTGTTTGAATGTCATCGGGGGGGATTGGCTTCGGACCAGGAGGTGCAGCAGTAAATTCACACTTTATGGATTTGTCCTTTCTCTGATCAGGATGTCGCAGCAGTGAGGGTTTGTGTTCGCTCTGCAGGACACTTAAAAACATTATGTTCCTTTCATCAGAGGAGGGAAGATTTAACACCTAAGTGTGAAAGCTCATGAAATTAAGAACTTGTTTTACTGAATATTAACAGCATACAGTTCACGCTGTAGGCTAGGTCATGTGTTCAAAATACCTGCTTTGCAACACCTCAGACACAGCTTCGCAGAGCAAAGATGTGTGTCAAGTTCGTTCGTTTTTTTTGGCTTTCTCTCAATGTCTGCTTGAACTTGAAAGACTGGAGAACATAAGCGGACCAATTCAATTTCCTTTCTTTGTCTTTAATGAGTCTTTGAAACAGTCCTTGACTTCAAGGTAGGTAGGTAAGAATGGAGAAACCAGCTCGAGTGCGCTAGAATTTGAAAAGTACGCAGCCGAAAAAATCTGCCCCTTCCTTCAGACTTCCTCACAGAGCCCCTCCTCCAACACACACGAACGCGCACATGACCAATGAGGGCACGAGATAAGTTTGTGCACAGATGGAAGGCTGACAGGCAGGTAGGCCATCCAGTTACTTCAGCCGGGCCGTACTTTTTACAGCGCCACGGCTTCCACAGATGAAATGTTTTTTATGTATTTATTGTCAAGCATTTCATGTATTCATTGCTATCGGGATGTTAAGAGCATTCCATGGAATATAACAAAAAGTGTTTCTGAAGTGAATTACCTACCCCACCTTTAAGTAGACACTTCAATTCTTGGAGTTTTCAGGTAGAAAATCTTCGTAAAAAGACAACTAATAGACCTGTAAGCCACAGCACGGCCATTATTACATACATGTGGGCGGGTAAAAGAGGCTTCTACCAAACATGATGCCAGTTGAAAGAGTCCCTATTGTGATTTAGGGGTTTTCTATAGAGGTTTTTGTGCATGTCAATAGTCTGCAAAGGCTCAAATCCCAAAGTTCCCGGCAGACGGAATTTCTCTCAAATACCTTAAAATGTAATATGTGCTCTTTAATGCAGATTTCATGACCCAGATTTCATAATACACAGCAGTTGCCGATCTGCAGAAAATCATTTCCTACGTTTTTGCTGATATGATATCCCGGCTGAGAAAATGTAAGGTTCAGTTTATGTTATCGTCCAACTCGAGAAAGTTTTACCAAAAGAAAAACAACAGTAGAAAACACATATCAGTGCAAAAAAGACCATTTAAAAAACATATAAGGTACATGGTCCTAAGCGCATAAGTGCAAGGTATCATTTACCTTTTGTGCAAATTAAGTATTTTTTTTGGCCCTAGGAACAATTATAATTATGTTCTCAGGCTCAGAAGGAGGAACACAGAACACATCTGAAGTCTTTTCTGAGCATGACCACATGCAAATACCAGTTAACACATGCATGTAGATCTATTTCCTCTTTGTCACACAATCTAAGTCTCCTGTGGTGAAGAGATGTGATACATGCAGCAGTATGTGTGTGAGCTTCAGAATCAAATACTTGAAACAGGAAGCTGCACCGCGGTTGCTGTGTGTTGTTCACATCTGTGTGTTTCCATAAAGTGACTTTTATACGTCTTCTCTCAGGCGACCACAGAGACACTAATTTCGATCATCAGCAGCTAGGTATTTCAAAACCTCTGAAAATGGCTTCAGATGTCACCGTTGTTACTTACATTCAAACTAAGAAAGCCGTCTTATTTGATGGGTCTTTACCTGCACCGTCATTATGAGTAATATCTGTACCTTTGTGGCTTTCTGTGAACCGAGGCACAGATTATGTACGGTGGGTTTGACTCTACTTTTTTGTACTTGTTGTTCAGTTCTGCAGCTGAAGCTCCAACAGAGAAGATCCAGAGAAGAGTTGATCAACCAGGGGATCATGCCGCGTAAGTACACAGCATTTTTATTTTAGTGAGAAAAGTAAATCCATGTGTTGAAAAAGTAAGTTGCCATTGTGGAGTACATTCAGACTGCCAAGTGTTCTTAGTGCTGTTACAACAGATATTTATCTCTTTTCAGAAGGGCTGCCCATTTGATTGAAATGTATCAGTCTCAATATGAACTAATGCAATATTCAAATAACAGGAAGCACAACATTTCTTAAAGGTTATATATGTATTGAAATAGCATTTTATTGAAGTATTGCAGACATATCCCGGCCTACAGACTTCACAAAGTGTTTGGTGCAGACTCTTTGAAAAATCACACCAGAATAATTAAATATGTGACAATCACAAATTATCAATACCAGAAGTATTGTGAATAATATAATAATAATCGCAACTAGTGACTTTTCCCAAATCATGCAGCCCTACTTTTTTTGTGCATCTTCATTTTTAACATTGTTTCATACATTTAAAAAAAAATAGCTCACAGTCTCTGCCTGTGAGAACATGTTGTGCCGCCTCATTACTCGCTGCTGAAGAGATTTGGATTGTGGTTCAGACCGTGCCACCGTCTCCTGGCAGACGGCAGTTTCAGAGAAAGGTGTATCAAGGTCAAACTTCAACTGCCATCACAAACATCTGCTTTTTGTCTGATTAAGAGATTTTCCCGGACTTCCTCACACTCAAAAGGTTTAGAATCTTTTGATTAAAGACTTTTACTTATGTGCTTCTTTTTCAGATCCGTTCACATACTGCTGCTGTCTTAAAGAGGCCCTATTATTTGGGTTTTCCCTTTCCTTTAGTGTGTATAAGTTGTTGGTTTGATTTTCTGCAAAGGTTAAAATCACAGAGGGAGTTTCTCTCCCACACACTCCCCCCCCCGTCTGAAACGCCTCAATTGGACTCCTTTGTTGACTAGTGACATCGCTATGTAACACTCGCACTTCTATTGGCTAGCGCTACAACACATTGTAAGCAATAGGCTAAGGGGCGGGACATCTCTAAGCGGTTGACCAATCACAACAGAGCTGGCCAGCTAACCAATCAGAGCAGACTGGGCTCTGGTTTCAGACAGAGGGTGAAAAGAGCTTTTTGAACATTAAAGCATGGAAACATGTCACAGTAGAGATACTACATACTGATATGAAACATTGAAAATGTGCATATTAAAAATACTGTAAGATTAATCAGATACCGTGAAGTACATCATGATCTATGTAAATAATCACTAGGAACTTACATTTATCTGTAAGAAAATACCCTAATGGCTTATATATAATAATAACATTTAAAAGTTTTATTCTGGGTACAGCTCATTAAAAGTGCAGCTTATTTCCCCCAACATTAAAGTTCATCCTCCACATTTGACTCTTGATCTCTGTATAATCTCACATTGTCACACAGGAAGTGTGTTTGCGCTGTTCCTCTTATCTGCTGGTATTTTTCTGAATTCACCATGCACAAATACACTCACCATTTCCTCTTCTCAATGTATTAGGAAGTTCTTAACTTTGTGATCAGACAGCATTAGTAATGAAGCTCAGACCTCTTCTACCTGAGAGCTATCTTAAAGGTTAAGGATCAACAATGAGTTTGTTCACTTTGAGAGAACTAATGATCTTATTGTCTGTGAAGCGAGTATCACATGCAGGAGTATAAGAAAGACAGTCGAGCTGTGATCAGACCAAGTGTGACAGGAGGAGTTAGTGTTATCACAGCTCTCGTCTTCTTCCACTAACTCACTGAGACTGAGATCAAAATGTTTTGTTCACATGGTCTCATCCAATTAGCCTACGCCTCTCGAAGCTCCTTAACCAAAGGGCTTGTTGTGGCTTCATTAGGTGTTGTTTGTGTCCCTGTGTCGTGTCTCCTGCAGTGTTCAGGCAGCTTAGATGATGTCCCAACGAGCCCCGCTGATAGTATTTTGTAAATTAAAAGAACAGAGATGCTTAAGGAGACAGGAGGGGGGGATATTACCGGGGCAATGAAGATCACAGACTTGAATGCCATATCATATGGTTGGGGCAACATAATAAACTTATACATGTTAACTATAAACCAGAGAAATATAGTCATATATCTTCTGAAATCAAGATGTTTCTATCACTGCCCTAAGACTAGTGTTAATGCCAAACAATCTGCAATTGCAAATCTATTTTTACCATTTTCTTAGAGTAATAAATAAATAAAACAAACTTACAACACATGTCTACCTTCATGAAAAGAAGAAATACAACCATTCCCGAGACTTTGACCTTGTTTTAACTCATCGTAAAACCCACTTTGCTTCATTTAATCTCAACAGAAACCAAATAAAACTCATCTATAAATGTATTGGATTGTTTCCCCAACAAACATCACGCTGACTTTACAAGCTTTCACCACTACATTAGCGTCATTAATTGACCCAAAACGACCAAAGAAAGCAGTCATTGATGTACTCCATTACGGATGTATTCGTCCAATCGCCCATCCTTTCCACTTGACTACGTTTAGGGTTCAGGTTTTGATGTGGTTAATGTCAGAGTAGGGACATGGCAGAACAATTAGCCACTGACATTAAGAAGTCCTTCTCGTGTCTTATGACCTTTCCTGACCTATGATTCTCCCTGGAGTATCTCATAAGGAGAGAAGGCAGTGATCAGACAACATCTCTGCAACTTCAACCTCTGACTAATTTCATTCTCATGATCACGTATTTCCTTCTTTCATTCACGTCAGATCCCTTCGCCCTTGTCCATTTATCCCCATCTTTCAGCTTCTTCCTTCTGCCCATTTCATTAAACGTCAGATTAGTCTCGATTTACCTTTGTCAGTGTTGGGAAATTACTGAATGTACTCTTCCAATATCAGAGTAGCACATGATAACAAAGGCCCTACGTAGCTGTGTACGTAACGGGATGTATGATTACCTAGAAGAGCATCAGGACTGTTTGAGGCATATGATAGCTATGTGATTAACATGCTGATTCAGCCTCTATGGAGAGAGACATATGACAAGCATGCTCATTTCTGACATGGAGCTAATCTGAACTAAACATTGAATACTGCTTTCTATTCCTCCATCTTGTGACTGTGTAACTCCCTCTCTTGCATATCAGCATGTGAAGGACACTGTTCAGGAACTAGTCGTACCAAATGTATGTGATATATATCCTTTATTTAACCAGGTAAAAGTCTCATTGAGATTAAAGGCCTGGCCAAGAAGGGCAGCATGAAGAAAGTTACAACAGATAAAACACAGACAATACATGTAGACGAATACAGCGGTCGTAAAACACAAATGAAATGGCACATTTACCAGTCAATATGCAAATAAAAGAAACTATTATAAAACATAAAAAACTGGCACAATTTAAAACGACTTCAGTTATGGGATATAGCAATCACATCGAACAATGGATTCTTGTTCTCTGTCCTTTAAGATGGACTTGAACTCCCCCATAGTGATGACTACTTCCATTCTTGAGATGTATCCTGATTATTGAAACTCAAGCCGGTGACGAGTGAGGTTTTTCCAACAGTCAGCAATTTCCTCTTGATCTGGGTCGTGATAACAACAGTGAATAAAATGTCTTTCTCTATTCTCACAACTAGCCACTTGACCTCTTTTGGCAGTTGTGGGTTCCCTCATCCTTTGTCCACCCCCGGTGTCTCTTCATCACTCACCCTATCTCCATTCTCCCTCCCACTGCTCATCCAAAAATAATCTTTCAAAAACCTGCTTTGTGTCGAGAAAACGCCTTTTTCTTCTGTTAGCCGTGGGACGGTGGTGTGTGGTCGGGTGTGTTCATTTGACTCGGTGCTATAAGAAGCCCACAGTGATACCCTGCCTAGAACTGTATTTATACACTTCTCAGATGTGTGAAAATGTTTCTGAGTTCATACTTATCTACACATAATAATAATACATTACATTTATAAAGCGCTTTTCCTGGTGCTCAAAGCGCACATGGTTATCAGGTTAGCTAAGATAAACTTTAGTTGAAAGCCTTTTCCAAATATGTGTTAAAAAGTCCAAAGAACAGAGTTAAAAAAAAGAAGTAGAAAGTTTCAACGCACACTTCTGAAATATTTGTTCCCTACCAAAAAGCACCTTCATCGCACTTGTTTTAACTTTTTGTTTTAGTTAGCTGTTAGCTAGCTAGCCGGTTTTTTAAGCTAGCAAGCTTATTGTTTGCGGTACCAAATCATTACAGAACGTTCAATTAACATGATAAAATGTTAATGATGGCTTCTTTTTACGACAACAGTAACGTTTCTTAAATAGTGCGGGAATAAATTAAAAACCTTTATTTGTAAAATTGTGTGTTCAGCGTAGCAAACGTAGCCTAATCACGGATAGCCAAATGCAGATTACTGAGGGTGATGGTATTGCACCATCCAGGTACCCATAATGCACTGCATTTTGCCATACTTTGCATAGGATTACACATAAAACAAGTTTAACTACAAAAGGACACAAATAGGGAGACATAGCAATTAATTTAAATCATACATGTGTACTGACCACAACAAACTTGACATGTTTTGAAGCCAGTGGTGATGTTTTACACATTTTCCGGCCATTTAAGATATTTCCCACAGTGCCAAAGTTGAGTTAAATATTATATTGGGAAGTTTCTTAAGCAACAAGCCAGTCAGTGAAGAGATAAGAATAAAAACCAACTGCATCAGACTGAACATAAAATCACAGTCGCCATCAGAGGAAGCGATTTTGCTCCATGTTAGCAAAGTTTAAAAACAGCTAGCATGGGTTAGCTTCAGCAGGCTGGCATGAAGCCAATATGCAGCCACTCATGCACATAATGGTGTCTTTTCTCTCTGACCCCACCACTCTCTATTTCCTCCTCTTCATTTGCCCTTCGGTCTGTTGTTCCATTTTTCTTGCAGCTGCCTCTCTTCATTTATCTCCCCGTCGTCTTCCCTACATTTTCTGATGCTCCGTCTTCTTCCTATCCCTTTCCAACCATTTCACTTTTTGCCCCCTCTTCTAAAATCTCATTTTGTGCTCATCCATCCATCCGTCTAGCCCTTCATCCCAGCACTCGTTTCCCATGCATCTGACTGACAGGCAGGTTCAAACCCTCTTGTGGATGGGTGAGAGGTCTAAGAGGGTTGATGTCCCCGGGGTCTGTAAGAGTGAGTGTGTACCAGCAGTGTGACAAAGCTCAGCGACGTGAACTCAGGCTTGAGCAGGTACCGGCAGTCTGGCCCCAGGGATGCTAATTTAATCACACAAATCGTGTGTGTGTGTGTGTGTGTGTGTGTGGGTGTGTGGTGTGTGTGTGTGTGTGTGTGGTGGGTGTGTGTGGTGTGTGTGTGTGTGTGTGTGTGTGTGTGTGTGTGTGGTGTGTGTGTGTGTGTGTGTGTGTGTGTGGTGTGTGTGTTGTGTGTGTGTGTGTTGTGTGTTGAGTGTGTGTGTGTGTGTGTGTGTGTGTGTGTGTGTGTGTGTGTGTGTGTGTGTGTGTGTGTTTGTGTGTGTGTGTGTGTGGTGTGTGTGTGGGTTGTGTGTCTGTGTGTGTGTGTGGTGTGTGGGTGTGTGTGTGTGGTTGTGTGTGTGTGGGTGTGTGTTGTGTGTGTGTGTGTGTGTGGGTGTGTGTGTGTGTGTTGTGTGGTGTGTGTGTGTGTGAAGTCAGAAAGTATTAGAACAGCAACACATTTATATTGTGTTAGCTTCTGCATATTGGATTTGAAATGAAACCTGACTATGAAATGGAAGTGCTGATTATTTGCCTTAGTTGGACGGGGCTGACTTCAATGCATGTGGTATTTCCTCTAGTCAGGTCTGCACTGCAGCCATAGAGTGGCACAGGAATGAGTCCTAAACCTGGAAATGAGTGAGCAATTTAGAAAAACCAATGTTCCCTTGTCCCAAAGTCAATGGGTTTTTGAATGTGAATGTCTGAAGCTTTTACATGTAGCTTAGTGGTAACGCAAACATCATGTAGTTCCTTTATAGCCTTACCTTCGCTACCTACTTTTTGGCAGTTGCATTTTCAATTCAACTAATATAATAGTGGTGTTAATATGTGGAGATTATCCTGCTGAACAGAACATGTCGTGTTTGCCACATCATTAATGTTTTGCAAATTCCAAGAAAAATCCCATTGGCTTTCATCAAGGGAACTCTTACCTGTATCTGGCTAGTTAAATATGCAAATATATGATAAGCAAAACAGTTTGATGTATGACTTTATCACATATCCTTATCAAAATTAGTCTTCGAGCAAAGTATTTTTTATATATATTATAAAAATAACTAGTCCTATGAACCCAAAGACTCTATAGTAAAATAACATGGGTTGTTCTTAAGGAAACTATGAGGAGCACAGTCAAGTATTTGGTGTTCATGAACTCATAACAAGTTGAAAATCAAATATAATCTGGTAGATATTTATTAAGCACGATGTTAGTATTTTTCCTCATTTCTAAATAAAAATCATTTTTATAATTTCATATGATCATAAAATGTCAAGTTGTTCTGTTACACAATGGCCAAAAACATGCGTCAACCACATTTCAAGACGTCAGGCCAATCATTGTGGCGTCTTTCTTTACTGTTTCTAAATATAGCCTTTGGGCACAAATGGGTTCATTTTACAGAATGCATCTTGGGAAATATTCCACAGCTATATGATGAATCACAGGATGGTAAAGTGAGGGAATTATTTAAAGAAGAATCAACATGAAAGCGTTTTCCTTTCTCATAATGTAACCGTGTCACAGCTCTGCACAGATGGGGCGGAGTGAGAGGAGTCAATATAATAGGACAACAATATATATCTGTTATTATTTCACAATTTGGGCTTTGGTGACAGCAGCGTTTTAGTCCTAGCTGCAAATGAGTGGGAGAAAAGGGGAGATTGGGAGGGATCAGGGTATTAATGATCTGGGTTGTTTCATTGTTTGGCGTTTATTCATTTAAAATCATGTGGTTGTCCATACACTAGAAATATGATTCATTTATGGTTACGTTTTCTGGCTTTTTCATGAATTATGTGACGTTAAAGGACATCTTAAAATAATAGGACCCCTAGAAATGGTGTTCGTAAAATGCATGGTTTTAAATGTGACTCAAGGTGTGCTATTCAAAGCTACTCTCTACCCCCAGTGCATTTATTTTCCTTCATGCAGTATAACATTATTTAATAGTGTGAGGTTCAGATTCTTGTTTCAGAAGCTAAATCCTAATGCCTGCGCTGATATGCTGCATTTAACTCAGCATTTTGGTGTCATCGCAACCCTTTAGGCTTCTAGGTGTCTAGCACCACTAATCCCTGGGTTTTTGCATAATCATGAGCCCACAGCAAGTCTTGCTTGAGTCATTTGTGAATCCGTAAAAAATATCTCATAAATTCCACTGCTGCAAAAGAGGCTCGATGGACCGAAACTTTACATTTGAATAGTAGCACCACTGCCCAGGCTATAATGCATATTGTTCTGCCGTGGCCTATAAAGATGTGAGTCTTTACAGCGAGAGCGAGATTACTACGCTGACATTGCACTCAAACTGTTATAAAGGAATAGCTTTGGCAATATAAGAGCAATAATCCTCACTATCAGTAAACCTATTCAAGTGAACTGGAGCTGAACAGTTGAGGCAAACAGCCATTCTGAGGCATTTTGCTCTCCATTTCTCCTCGGTGGCTTGAATGTACACACTGTTACCATGTTAATGTCCTCTCTTCTTTATTCTTTAAGCCCTGAAAAGTTCAGCTGCCTTCCACGAACAGAGACGCAGTTTGGAGCGAGCGCGGGTGAGCATTGATTCAATCAGTGAAGTTAAAACATTCAATCACTTTCAGCTTTTCAACCTCTGACATCATTACAGCAGCTCCTGCATGATAGCAATGCACCACAGAAGGGCTGAGCATGGCAAATAAGAGCTGGGATTAGGTCATCTGCACAATAAAGTAATGCTTGTATTGAATTGTAAGCTGCAATGTATTAAAGTCAGTGATTTAAACACCAGGGGTTCTTGTACTCCAGGGCATGTAGAAAGATTATGAATCAGCTCGACTACAAATACAAATTCCAATTTGTATTAAAAGAAATATGCAAATATTGAGCAAACTGTGACATCTGAACCCAATGTGTTCCGAGTGTGTGAAAAGTAATTGGTAATAAATAAATACATATCTAAATTGAAGTTATGGATACAAGTTTAAAATAGTTGTTTGGAAAAAATACTTAAATGCTTTCATTAAATAGCTGAAGAGATGGATAAGAAGATGAAAATAGTCAGTTAGCTCAAAGTAAAGGATAAATGATAGGTCATAATTTAACTAGCAGAAAATGATAAGTTAACCAGATACAACTGTACAAATGAACCATATAAAGTTAGCTATAAGTGGTAAACACATTGAAATAATTGTATTTATTTGATATGTGGGTTCTCTTATCATCTGGCTCTAAGGGGAAATCTGACCCAAAAACAAGTTGGTTACCACAGCACTAATGGTGGCATGAATCCAAAAGTGAGCAATGTGTGTATCTCAATGTTTCTCTCTCTTTCTCTAGACTGAGGATTATCTGAAGAGGAAGATCAGAGCCCGACCTGAGCGCGCCGAGCTGATCCGGATGCACATCCTGGAGGGTGAGTTCTATACTTCGTTACTGTACTTCAGTACATTCTTCTGGTATCAGTACTTTACTCCACTACTTATTTTTCTGACGACTTTTTACTTTGACTTCTTACATGTTGAACACAAATACCTGTACTTTCTACTTCTTACATGTTGAACACAAATACCTGTACTTTCTACTTGTCACATTTTGAACACAAATACCTGTACTTTCTACTTCTCACATGTTGAACACAAATACTTGTACTTTCTACTTCTTACATGTTGAACACAAATACCTGTACTTTTTACTTCTTACATATTGAACACAAATACCTGTACTTTTTACTTCTTACATATTGAACACAAATACCTGTACTTTCTACTTGTTACATGTTGAACACAAATACCTGTACTTTCTACTTCTTACATGTTCAACTCAAATACCTGTACTTTCTACTTCTTACATGTTGAACTCAAATACCTGTACTTTCTACTTCTTACATGTTGAACACAAATACCTGTACTTTCTACTTCTTACATGTTGAACTCAAATACCTGTACTTTCTACTTCTTACATGTTGAACACAAATACCTGTACTTTCTACTTCTTACATGTTGAACTCAAATACCTGTACTTTCTACTTCTTACATGTTGAACACAAATACCTGAACTTTCTACTTCTTACATGTTGAACACAAATACCTGTACTTTCTACTTCTTACATGTTGAACACAAATACCTGTACTTTCTACTTCTTACATGTTGAACTCAAATACCTGTACTTTCTACTTCTTACATGTTGAACACAAATACCTGTACTTTCTACTTCTTACATGTTGAACTCAAATACCTGTACTTTCTACTTCTTACATTTTGAACACTAATACCTGAACTTTCTACTTCTTACATGTTGAACCCAAATACCTGTACTTTCTACTTCTTACATGTTGAACCCAAATACCTGTACTTTCTACTTCTTACATTTTGAACACTAATACCTGAACTTTCTACTTCTTACATGTTGAACCCAAATACCTGTACTTTCTACTTCTTACATGTTGAACACAAATACCTGAACTTTCTACTTCTTACATGTTGAACCCAAATACCTGTACTTTCTACTTCTTACATGTTGAACACTAATACCTGTACTTTCTACTTCTTACATGTTGAACACAAATACCTGTACTTTCTACTTCTTACATGTTGAACTCAAATACCTGTACTTTCTACTTCTTACATGTTGAACACAAATACCTGTACTTTCTACTTCTCACATGTTGAACACAAATACCTGAACTTTCTACTTCTTACATGTTGAACACTAATACCTGTACTTTCTACTTCTTACATGTTGAACACAAATACCTGTACTTTCTACTTCTTACATGTTGAACACAAATACCTGTACTTTCTACTTCTTACATGTTGAACACAAATACCTGTACTTTCTACTTCTTACATGTTGAACTCAAATACCTGTACTTTCTACTTCTTACATGTTGAACACAAATACCTGTACTTTCTACTTCTTACATGTTGAACTCAAATACCTGTACTTTCTACTTCTTACATGTTGAACACAAATACCTGTGCTTTCTACTTCTTACATGTTGAACTCAAATACCTGTACTTTCTACTTCTTACATGTTGAACTCAAATACCTGTACTTTCTACTTCTCACATTTTCCAAACAGCTGGTTCCTTTAGTCTGAATGTGTGTTTGGTGCGTGATCATTATTCTTTAGAGTCATTGCGTGCCTATTGATTTGAACACGATCCGTGTATCCATCATTTCCTGGTCTTCTCTAAAGAAGAGGGACCAATGGAAACGTTGTCATGTTGCCGTTGTTCAGCATGGAAACATTCATTAGCTAACAATGACATTATTGTTCTATTAATATAAAGGGAGGTCAGGTACTCTTTAAAACAGCTGCTAGTCATGGGTACTTTTTTACTTCAGTACATTTCAAAGCCCATACTTCTTTACTTTTACTTGAGTGAAGAAGTTTAGTCAGTACTTCTACTTTCACCAGAGTATTTTTAAACACGAGTCTCTGTACTTCTACTTGAGTAAAGGATGTGTGTACTTTTGCCATCTCTGGTACTGACAAAAACGAGTCCGGTACCTGCAGTGCGATGTGATTGGTTGCTTTGCTCTCAGGTGCATCAGTTCTTTGGTTTTCAGCATGTGATTGGTCAGTGCAATCAGGAAGTGGTTGCCGTTGACGTCGGTGACCAGAGTGGGGGTGGAGTCACTTGAGTAAAGAAGTTTAGTCAGTACTTCTACTTTCACCAGAGTATTTTTAAACACGAGTATCTCTACTTCTACTTGAGTGAAGGATGTGTGTACTTTTGCCATCTCTGCTGTCTGGACTTTAGGCAACTCTGACTAATAACTTCTCAGAGTCCTAGCACACGGGTACAAATAAATCTCATGTTTGGTGTCTGCATGCTTCCAGAGTTGTCAGCGGAGCCGTCTCTTCAGGCCAAGCAGATGCAGCTGAAGAGAGCTCGCCTGGCCGATGATTTGAACGATAAGATCTCCCACCGGCCGGGGCCCATGGAGCTCATCCACAAAAACATCCTGCCTGTTCACTCCAGCATCAAACAGGCCATCATAGGTAAGCAGGCAAGGTGTCCCATAGATTATATTTCTCATGTACTCTCCCAATGATTGACTCACTGACATATGGAAAGTCAATATAGGTGTTTCTTTGACTGTTTCCATATTCAGCTGCAAATAACTCTTCTCACAACTGGTGTAGCCAACGATTAAGGGGGCCTACTCTGCTCATTTGGATGTTGTGCCTCTACTGTGACATGTTTACAAGCTTTAATGTTCAAAAAGCTCTTTATGTTTCTCATACTGCCTGTGCTGCAGCACCTCTGTCTGAAACCAGAGCTCAGTCTGCTCTGATTGACCTGCTTTATCGTCTATTTCACTCTAAATGGCACTGTGTCGAAGAGTACTTGAGACTAGCAATCGGGACAAGAAAGTCATTAGTAAACTCTTTACTAAGGTATTAAATCAAGTTAGAAGTGGGCAATTCTTCCTTCAATACAATCAAACTTGTTTTTGCGACCGGTCCATTAGACAAAACCCAGGTTTAAGGCACTTCTATATTGGCTCCACTTTTCATACCAATAGGTTGCCTCTTGAGAACGACATGAGTCAAAGTGAAGGCTAACATTGATCTGTGTAGCCTGACTTTGTTGGCTATAACGACTTTACATGTAAACCTTGTTGTCCGATTACAGGGGCTTTACATCTCTCAGCTTGTCTAGCTGTTTTTCTGCCATGAAATACTGGACACGCCTTTAAATAAATGATTCCCTGCATGTATGTGGAGGAGGACGGTGTAATATAAAAGTGATAGTGTGATATATCAACAGCACGCCCACAGATCAGGGCTCCTGACAGGACGTCCCTCATGGCCTCCTCTTCATGAACACACTGATGCTCCATCTCACATGCCTCAGCTGTTTTTGAGACACACACACACACACACGCACAGAAGCACCCACACATCCAATATGTACACAACACACTAACTCGCCCACCTGAGTATTCATGCTTCAAAACAGCCACAAATCTTATAATAGGATACAGTAAATCATGAATGCCTGACAGACAGGAAGTGAAAGCTTTTCCATCTATGCTGTCAGTGTCTCTTAATGAAACCCATTATTAGAAAAATTACATACTAATTGAAGTGTTAAGACTCCATATGAATAAGTGTGATTTTAATCAGTTGCAAATTGGGCAAAGTGACGGAAAATATGACCCCAATTTCACCCTTTTTCCATAATAACAGCAACAATTAAAGCAACAATTAGCAGTGCTATTTAACTTCTACTGCACATCTTATCATTGACAGGAGGTCCAGCTGCTTGGTGGTTGTGTGGAGAAAAGAAATCCACCCTGTGTCAGTGGGTTATTCATCTCTCTGTCACCACAGCACAATAAACACAATTGCATTAACCGCCACTTATTGTAGGAGCACTGGGAACGTAGGGTTTATACAGCGTTGACATGCAAAGATACACACACACACACAAAGCCTGACGTACAGACACACACTGGCAGCACAGCGGTGAGGAAGTCATCACGTTGTTGGATCAGAGGGTATTAAATCAACCCCATGTTGTCTTTTCATCATCACCTGCTGATGTTAGATTAACGAGCAGCGGTGTGTTTTACATAGCTGCAGCCACTGTTATAAATTAACACTCATCCAGTAGCAAAAGAAAAGTCTCTATCTTACTCCATGCGATCTTAGCAGTTACCTTTTACACCTTAAATCCCTGTAAAGACTCAAAAATCTGCATTTTAATGAAATGACTATATGTGATTACTACGACCGTCATCTCTTTTCAAAAGGGCGTTTTGAATTCATCGTTACCCCGACTGCTATGGAAATATTTGACCGTTGTAATGGCATCAAGGGTTTCCTCTTGCCACTATAGAGCGGGGTTGACGACACGCAATCCAAAACAATAAGCAGCCGAAGGTTTTCAGTCAAAAAAATGTAATTTATTAACAAAAAAGTATTGACTTAAATAGTCTCAAAATAACAAATCTTTAAACAGTATTTCGGCGATATGCTTTCCTATAGAAACTAAACTATACTTTGTGTGCAGTCCAATTTGCAACACCAATCTCTGTCTGCAATTTGCGGTCGAAAAACTGTTCCGCTCCCCGTCTCATCAGGTCTCCAAACACGCCGGCTGTCCTCAATTACCTCACTTAAATACACACCGGAAGGTACAAGGAAACATATCATATTTACGATATAAAATTAACAATCATTTCATCAAAACATATTCACCATGGCAATATAAATCATTTTCCATCATTAAATCATTTATCAAATTATGAATCGAAATAATAACTTTGTGGCTCGAACAACCGTTGTTTGACATGCAGTATTTTTCCGACATACTCTCCCGATGTTCATCTACCTTTTTAAAGAGAATATCATTAGTAGCACAGAAGGCTGGCATTAACAGAAGGAGCCCTCACATACACGGCTAATGCGTTCATAGCACGAGTTACAAAACCGATCCTCCTGAATTCTCAGAATATCGTCATTCCGTCGAGAGACGCCATCTGTCACATAAAGACCAGTATCAATGAGGTGGCCTGCATCATTTGGCTGCACTGAAAGTGAACTTTGATGAATGAAAATTGTGGCAAGATTTCAATTTGGCCCACTACAACCTCCCTTTACCCACTTCCACTCTGTGGAGGGTCCGCCATATTAAATGCCATCCCAGACCAATTAGCTGGAAGTGAGTTATGAAATGCATCCAACAGGGAGCCCACATTGATTCATTACTCACCACATGAAATGCAGTTTTGTGTCTGCTATTGAAGACGTTTCACACAAATGTAGGTTCTGTGCAAATGTACTTACAGACCTTTACTTGGAAGCTACATAGACATACATCTACTATTTCCATACAGACGTTAAAAGTAAGAGTAAAGGCATTCAATGTATGATGACATGTACTCCCAATTAGTCTAGAAACAGGCAGATTGGTCTTTATTTTATGTCAATGGTTATATATTTACACTGCTTCAAAAACCAAGCAGCTCACGAACACCAGATTTCAAAAGACAAAAAGATTTGATCAGAATAACTTGTAATAAATCAGGTTAGAAGAAGCATAATTTTTTCATGGACTTCTATACAATCAAATGTCTTTTTGCAACCAGTGGAGTTGGCTCTTAGAAAGAATGCAATTTACAGGTTGCATTCATGTTTTCATCCGCCTATATCAACCTTTTCCTCTTTCCTCCTTACCCCCCTCTAAGAGACCAGTTTCCGAATCACAGGAACTTCATTTACAGAGTGAACATGCTGTGTTAAAGAAGACTAAAAAAAGACTAGTAATTGAGACCAGAAAGCCATTAGGAAACTGTTTATTAAGTTAACGAATCAAATTAGAAGAAGGGTCATTTGTTCATAGACTTCGATTCAATCAAACTTAAATAAATATGCTGTGCTAAAGAATAATTGAAACTTCAAACTGAGACCATAACCTCATAGGAAACTGTTTGCTACGCTTTTTATCAAGCTGGATAAACGGGAATTTGTTCATAGACTTCTATTCAATCAAACCTTTTTTAATCAGTGGAATTGGCTCTACGAAAGAATTCAGGTTTAAGGCATTTCCGCATTGGCTTCCCTTTTCCCTTCCACACGAGCAAGACAGGCCCACACACCTTAGTGAGTTGGAAGATACAGCTTTTCATCCACGCAGATATCAACCTTCTCCTCCCTCCTCTCCCCCTCTCAGAGACACGGTTTCCAAAGGCTTCGGGTGATAACTCGTCATGTGATGAGGACAGCAGTTACAGTCTGTCTCCAGAAGAGCCTCTGAGCCAGGAGTCTCCTCTGGGTCTGCATCCTCTGCCCTCTCCCCCAGAAACACTGAGCTGCATCCCGTCTCCTGCACAGGTACCATCACCCTGTGAAATTACTCACTTTGAGTTTTTATGCACCCCAAAAGTTCCAGAAAACCCGAGGTCTTCACCAACGCTGAGTTCTTTTAAGTCGAGGCTAAAACACTACTTTTTTCAGCTGCTTACCCAGAAGTCTTTTAACTTGTTTTAGCACCTACCGTATTTACAATGTTGTTTTTAAACTATTCTCTATCTCTGTTAATCCATTATGTTGTCTTAAGTGTTAATGATGATGGAAAAGCACTTTGAATTGCCTCTTTGTCTGAAAATGTGCTTTAGAAATAAACGTACCTTACCTTACGACTACAAAGTGAACTCCTACCAATAACAATGTGGCATTAAGCTTCACTTAACTTTGACTATTAACTCACCAAACATCGATTCAATAGACTCATTTCAGGAGATAAATGCACCTTGTGGATTTATTGGTTCACTTTTTTACCCTTGTCAATAAGGTCTGTACTCCTGCTCCTGCTCTCCCGCCAATCTCTGGATCCTCCCCCTCATTCAAGCTGACCAATGGGACGGCGGCATTATCCGCACATAGGACAGGGGCGCCCTCACATATCAAGGTAAGAGTCAATCAAATCAGGCAAGGCCAACTAAACAATAAATACATAAAACAGCTCTTATTAGAAAATAGATAAGCCAACTGCAAAACTCAATATCCTTAAACCCACTTAATGCTATCAACCCAAAAGCAAACTGTAAACATATAAAGTCAATAAAAAAGGTGTAAATAATGCAGCATTTAGCAGCTAAAGAGCCTGATGTTGTTGCTAGAGACCAACACAGAGCTACAGTGAATACTGGACGTTGATTGCTGCTGTTGTATACAAGTTGACGATAAGCTAGGGCTGCTCAATTAATTGTATTTTAATCGCGATTATGGCTTGCAACGATTACGAAAACAACGTAATCGAAATAAAACGATAATTTTTTGATCAATATTATTACTTTTTTTTTTTATAATTTTTTTTTTTTGGTTTTTCAGTTGAATTAATCTTAAAGTTCAGGGTAATCAACTGTTAAAAACATACTGTTCAAAATGTTTTTCTCCAATAAATGGATGTTTTCAAAGTCAATGAATAATCGCATTTAATAATCGCAATTACAATTATTGACCCAAATAATCGAGATTATTATTTTTGCCATAATCGAGCAGCCCTACGAAAAGCACTTACCATCACCTCTCTTCTTTGTTCAGTCCCATCACAAACCAAGCTCTGACCGCTCTGCACAGAGACACAAGAAACCAAAGGACAGCAAGCCAAAGGTAGACTTTTGTTTCCTCTTTCAAAGATGGTAAAAACGAATTAACGTAATAAACTGCATACAAGTTGATCATCTGTTATGCCGTTTATGTGTTGCCTCCTAGATTAAAAAGTTAAAGTACCATCAGTACATCCCTCCCGACCAGAAGGGAGATAAAGAGCCTCCCCCCCATCTGGACTCTTCTTACGCCAAAATCCTGCAGCAGCAGCAGCTCTTCCTGCAGCTGCAGATCCTGAGTCAGCAGCAGCAGCACTACAACTACCACGCCATCCTGCCCGCACCCCCCAAGTACGTTTAGTGGATGCTCATAGGGTTAGGAGATATTGCAAACATCTTATATCGAACTATATGTAATGTTTTATCATGGTAATGGATTACATCAAAAAACAGTAATAGTTCAATTGATTAATGGTTCAAAATAACCATATCATACTACATGGCATTCTTTGATATTATAATATGTGTATTATTTCGGCATGAAAATAAGTATTGGGATATGATACACAATATTGGAGCGGTATTGCAGAGCTTGGATCTTCTGTAAAAGGCATTTCATTTTTTTTTAAACTGTGGGGATAATAATCCTTTTCCTTCATCTCAATTTCCTCCCAACAGACCTCAGACAGATCAGCAGCCATCTTCCTCTTCCTCCTCCAGTTCAATGACCTCCTCCCCTCCTCGACCTGTCGCTGCCTCCTCAACAGCCGCTAACCAGTCCCGTCAGACTTCTGCTCCGTTAACTGGGACAAAACCAGCGTGCCTACCTCCAAACCTGGATGAAATGAAGGTGAGCTGCACAGAAACACATCAAAACACAACTGAAGATTCTCATCAGAGCAACAAGTGTGTCTTCTGTCAACTGGCAGAGATGGAAAAAGTAGAATTACAATGACCTAAAATATCATATCATTTTGCACCACGGCCATCACCAAATATTATTAAAGAAGCATACATTAGAAATACTACAGTCAAATATAGCAAACTTAAAGGCGTCCTATTATGCTTTTTGGGGGTTTCCCTTTCCTGTAGTGTGCCTAAACGGCTGATCACAACAGAGCCGGCCAGCTAACCAATCAGAGCAGACTGGGCTCTGGTTTCAGACAGAGGGTGAAAAGAGGTGCTGCAGCACAGGCAGTATGAGAAGAATAAAGAGCTTTTTGAACATTAAAGCATGGAGACATGTCACAGTAGAGGCACAACATATAAATATCAACCTGAAATTGAGCATGATAGCGCCCCTTTAAGTAAAATACTTGAGTAAATGTTACTTAAATTACATTACTAGTCCGCAGGCTATCTTTGGAGTAGCTGGTGGATAGAAGTTGACATATGTAAAAGATCCTGTTTTAATAACTCAGAGCTGATAGAGAAAGGGACAGTGATGGATTATTCTGTCTTTCTGTTTTCTCTCTCCTGTTTCATTTGATCCGTTTCAATTTCCCTCTTGTATTAATCCCCGTCCTCTTTACTTTTCTCCTCTCTCAATCTCAATTTCGCTTTTGCTCCGTCTCTCTGTCAGGTGGCGGAGCTGAAGTCCGAGTTGAAGCTGCGCAGCCTCACAGTCTCCGGCACCAAAAACGACCTGATCGAGAGGCTGAGGAGCTACCAGGAGCTGAAGGGAAGCTCCGACACTTCCTCCTCTCCGACAGCAGGGGGTCCCACAGGGCCGGGGGCTGGAGGAGCAGCTAGAGCCTTCAGATCGGCTGCAAACAACAACAACACATCACAACAACAGTTTCAGTTTCAGAGCCATCAGATGTCCGCTCTGATCGGTTAGTCAAACAGGAAATCTCTCTCTATTTGTCACAGATTTATGTATTCGAGTGTTAAAGGTCACCTATTGTGCAAAATCCTCTTCTTCATGTCTCTTCTACATCAACATGTGTCCCCTCTTCTTCATGTCTCTTCTACATCAACATGTGTCCCCTCTTCTTCATGTCTCCTCTACATCAACATGTGTCCCCTCTTCTTCATGTCTCTTCTACATTAACATGTGTCCCCTCTTCTTCATGTCTCTTCTACATCAACATGTGTCCCCCTCTTCTTCAGGTCTCTTCTACATCAACATGTGTCCCCTCTTCTTCATGTCTCTTCTACATCAACATGTGTCCCCTCTTCTTCATGTCTCTTCTACATCAACATGTGTCCCCTCTTCTTCATGTCTCTTCTACATCAACATGTGTCCCCCTCTTCTTCATGTCTCTTCTACATCACATGTGTCCCCTCTTCTTCATGTCTCTTCTACATCAACATGTGTCCCCTCTTCTTCATGTCTCTTCTACATCAACATGTGTCCCCTCTTCTTCATGTCTCTTCTACATCAACATGTGTCCCCTCTTCTTCATGTCTCTCTACATCACATGTGTCCCTCTTCTTCATGTCTCTTCTACATCAACATGTGTCCCCTCTTCTTCATGTCTCTTCTTCATCAACATGTGTCCCCTCTTCTTCATGTCTCTTCTACATCAACAGGTGTCCCCTCTTCTTCATGTCTCTTCTACATCAACATGTGTCCCCTCTGTGGAAAGAGACTCTGAAAGTTTCAGGAACAAAGATTCTCTCTTTTTGTCCTGATCCATTTCTATAAAAACCTGTCTGAAAATGAGCTGATCAGATTTTGGCCACTTTATGATGTCATAACGCTTTTTTTGTCTTGTGTAACCATTAGCCAATCACCAACCAAGGTAACCCCCCCCCCACCTTATCACCTGAATCTCCTCCTAGAGCACCATTGAGTTCTTTGTAACCAAATCTATCTCAGAGGGGCGTGGGGAGGGGCTCCTTATTTTCATCTAAAGTAACAGACAGAGAATCAGCACTTTTGCAACAGGGCTGAAACAGAGAGGATTATGGGTAATGCTGCAATGATCTGTTTGGTGTTTCAGCCAAACACTTCAGAGACATGTTTTGTATATATCTGAGACCTGTAATATATTGATGAAAAACAGCATAATAGGGACCTTTAAAAGATATCGTTGTGCTTTCTACTCTTTCTTTTCCTCTGTATAGCCGATATGCCTCTGCAGCAACTGTCCCTCGGTGGATCCGTCTCCCCCCAAAACGACCCCCTCACGCCCTCTGACCTCTCCCCCATGAGTCCAGATACCGGCTTTAACAGCGACCCCCTGGGGGAAATGGTCTGTATTGTTTTGTTGACATTGACCTTATATTAGATAAACCCAGAAATGGGGTTAAATGTACCATCTGCCATTCAAGTCCTTTTAACACATATATCACATTTTGTATATTGAATCATTTTTATGCTAAAACTGGTTAATCTATTTAAAAAAAAAGCATACTCTATTGTTGTAAATGTACTATGTTAACTGAGTATACTTCCAAGTGCACTAATGAGTAATGTTCTTACCATATTAGTGTTGTCACAATATATGATAACAACAATGTGAGACACGATTAATTTGATTCATCTTAATTTTTTTAAACTATGGTGGTATTTTTTACTTTTTTGTACCACATATATGTATAAATGACCTCTACTGCAAATACATAGTAATATATACTTTGTATGAAATGTAAACTGTACCTGCAATAGTATTTCATTTCCTCTGGCATTTTATTTTTAAGACTTTTAAGGTTTTCTTTTATGTAGTTTGGTCTATTTTATTTCGTATTTGAATTGTATTTTTCAACTCTTATTTAAATATTTTGAGGAAGAGGCTACAACTACATCTCATTGCGCCGTCCTGTATGATATATATTTACAATGCTAAATCCTTTAATACAATTAATTATGACTAAATGTTTCCTAAAAATAGCACGGTGATGTCAAGATGTCCTACTGCTCATTTACCCATTTGAATGTTCTCTCGTCTCCAGATGAGTTCACCTCTCAGCCCGGTGAATCTTCAGCCATGTTCAGCTGCTCCTCTGGCTACACACATTAAAGAAGAACCAATGTGTTCCCCTCCAGCCCCCTGTCAGTTCTCTTTAAAGCCGGCCTCTCTGCGGACACATTGCCCGATCACCGCCCCGGCTCCAGCGGTGGATCTGGACAAAGACCGGCTGCTGCACGAGAAGGACCGGCAGATCGAGGATCTGACGCGGCTGCTGAGGCAGAACCAGCGTCTGGTGGAGCTGCTGAGGCTGCAGCTGGAGCACCGCAGCAGGGAGGGAGCCGAGCCGCTGGTTCTGGTACGAGTTAAACAAGAACCTCCTGATAAACCCAGCGTCCCTCTCTCTTTCCGCCATACACCGTCACCTCTTTCACGTGAGATGGTAACTGTCAAACAGGAGGCCACTGATTCAGAGGAGAGTGAGACAACCACACAATTACCAGAAAGAACTCAGGAGGCGCAAATCAAACCGCAACAGATGAACACTCAGACTAAACCACTTCTGCAGCAAAGCACTCTGCAGCTGGCCCAGCAGCAGGCCGTACAGCAGCTGTTGCTCCAGCAGCAGCGCAACATTCAGAACCAGCAGCAGCTCATCCAGAACCGCAGTCAGACGGCGGAGAACCTGCAGAAAGTTTCTCAGCAGAGGAAGAAGAAATCTCACAAGCAGCAGATCAAACAGCAGCAGCAGCAGCAGCATGTGTTGCAGTCACAACAACAACAACAACAGCAGTCAAAACAACTTCATCACCAGCAGCAGCAGCAGCAGCTGAAGCAGCAGATTCTGCTGAAGCAGCAGAAGACGTTGCTACAGCAACAGCAGAGCAAACAGCTGCAACAGATCCAGACCAAGATCCATGTGAAGCAACGACAGGCAGCTCAGGTCAGGAACGAGCTTTAAAGAGGCCCTGTTCTGCTTTTTAGGGGTTTCCCTCTCCTGTAGTGTGTTATATCGGTTTGTGTGCATGTAAATGGTCTGCAAATGCTTAATTTCCACACTTCACACCAGAGGGAATTTCTATGTCAATCAATCAATCAATCAATGTTTATTTATATAGCCTAATATCACAAATGTTACATATTTCTCAGTGGACTTCACAGTTTGTACAGAATATCAGTTTGACAATACGACACCCTCTGTCCTTAGACCCTCTGTCCTTAGACCCTCTGTCCTTAGACCCTCTGTCCTTAGGACCCTCTGTCCTCAGACCCTCTGTCCTCAGACCCTCTGTCCTCAGACCCTCTGTCCTCAGACCCTCTGTCCTTAGACCCTCTGTCCTCAGGACCCTCTGTCCTCAGACCCTCTGTCCTTAGACCCTCTGTCCTCAGACCCTCTGTCCTCAGACCCTCTGTCCTAGACCTCTGTCCTCAGACCCTCTGTCCTCAGACCCTCTGTCCTTAGACCCTCTATCCTTAGACCCTCTGTCCTTAGACCCTCTGTCCTTAGACCCTCTGTCCTTAGACCCTCTGTCCTCAGACCCTCTGTCCTCAGGACCCTCTGTCCTCAGACCCTTCTGTCCTCAGACCCTCTGTCCTTAGACCCTCCTGTCCTCAGACCCTCTGTCCTTAGACCCTCTGTCCTTAGACCCTCTGTCCTCAGACCCTCTGTCCTTAGACCCTCTGTCCTCAGACCCTCTGTCCTTAGACCCTCTGTCCTTAGACCCTCTGTCCTTAGACCCTCTGTCCTTAGACCCTCTGTCCTTAGACCCTCTGTCCTTAGACCCTCACATCGTACAAGGAAAACACTTCCAGAGAAAACCCACAGTTTAAAGGGAACATGGGAGAAACCTCAGGGAGAGCAACAGAGGAGGGATCCCTCTCCCAGGACGGACAGATGTGCAATAGATGCCTTGTGTAAATCGAAGAGATAATACATTTTACAGCATATAGACCGAATGTTAGGAAATGCATGTGTCTGTAATAAGAAGAAGTCCTCTTTATAATATCATAATAACTCAATGTCATCCTGATCTCGTCAGACAACTCACGTGTTTCTTTGACATGTTTATTAGAAGCAGCATATAGTTTGGCGACTAGGCTCGGGCCTCATCACTCCATATTAAGATTAAAGATTAAATAACTAACCCCCCGAGCCTACAGGTGGAAGCTGGGGTGGTGGTGGGGCAGTAAGCAGCAGCGACGTAGAGTAGCTGCAGCAATAGCAGCAAGCAAAGCATAGAGAGAGATCTGGCAGGTTCAATAGAGCGGCATATTAAGGAGACTGGTTGGTTGTAGAGTGGCAAGGGACGTTATGTATGAATGCAGCACAAGTGCTCGAGTTGACTGCCTGAACTAGCTCGCAGGCTTCGCCCCATATATTACTTGTAAAGCGACCTTGGGTATTATGAAAGGCGCTATAGAAATCCAAGTTATTATTATTATTATATATTAAGCGGTTGCCAGAATTACCCCGATGCCCTGAGAAGCAAGGGAGAAAAAAATATTCTAAATTGTAAATATATATATTGCCACATTAACAACATAAAAGGGGAATAGTTCTAATAAAAAAAGCAAATTTAAGTTAAAGTACTAATACCACACTGTAAACATAACCCTGACATACAAGTACAATTGCTGTATTAAAATTGGTACTTCAAGTAATACAAGTATAAAAAAGTCCCCTGTGGCTGTTATATACTATTAAAAACATATTATTTTATTATGAATTAATGTGCTGATTTTTTTTCCCTTTTCAATTGAATGTTCGGTTTGCAAAAATATAGAAATTATTGAATTTCCAGCTGATTTCTCGGCTTGCTCAAATGAATTATGAAACAAAAATGTTAACATATCCGGCTTCTTCCTCTAAAGTCTTGTGGGTTTCGTCCAGGTGTCTCAGCAGCCAGGCTCAGCGCCCTCTTTCCCTCTGGATCTCTTCAAGGGTGACTCCACCCCCACTCTGGTCACCGACGGCAACGGCAACCACTTCCTGATTGCACTGACCAATCACATCGCTGAAAATCAAAGAACTGATGCATCTGAGAGCAAAGCAACCAATCATATCGCACTGCAGGTACCGGACTCATTTTTGTCAGTACCTGAGATGGCAAAAGTACACACATCCTTTACTCAAGTAGAAGTACAGATACTCGTGTTTAAAAATACTCTGGTGAAAGTAGAAGTACTGACTAAACTTCTTTACTCAAGTCAAAGTAAAGAAGTATGAGCTTTGAAATGTACTTCAGTAAAAAGTACCCATAGCTAGCAGCTGCTTTAAAGAGTACCTGAGCTCCCTTTATATTAATAGAACAATAATGTCATTGTTAGCTACTGAATGTTTCCATGCTGAACAACGGCAACATGACAACGTTTCCATTGGTCCCTCTTCTTTAGAGAAGACCAGGAAATGATGGATACACGGATCGTGTTCAAATCAATAGGCACGCAATGACTCTAAATAATAATGATCACGCATCAAACACACATTCAGACTAAAGGAACCAGCTGTTTGGGAAATGAGAGAAGTAGAAAGTACAGGTATTTGAGTTCAACATGTAAGAAGTAGAAAGTACAGGTATTTGAGTTCAACATGTAAGAAGTAGAAAGTACAGGTATTTGTGTTCAACATGTAAGAAGTAGAAAGTACAGGTATTAGTGTTCAACATGTAAGAAGTAGAAAGTACAGGTATTAGTGTTCAACATGTAAGAAGTAGAAAGTACAGGTATTTGAGTTCAACATGTAAGAAGTAGAAAGTACAGGTATTTGTGTTCAACATGTAAGAAGTAGAAAGTACAGGTATTTGTGTTCAACATGTAAGAAGTAGAAAGTACAGGTATTAGTGTTCAACATGTGAGAAGTAGAAAGTACAGGTATTTGTGTTCAACATGTAAGAAGTAGAAAGTACAGGTATTTGTGTTCAACATGTAAGAAGTAGAAAGTACAGGTATTTGTGTTCAACATGTAAGAAGTAGAAAGTACAGGTATTAGTGTTCAACATGTGAGAAGTAGAAAGTACAGGTATTTGTGTTCAACATGTAAGAAGTAGAAAGTTCAGGTATTTGTGTTCAACATGTAAGAAGTAGAAAGTTCAGGTATTTGAGTTCAACATGTAAGAAGTAGAAAGTACAGGTATTTGAGTTCAACATGTAAGAAGTAGAAAGTACAGGTATTAGTGTTCAAAATGTAAGAAGTAGAAAGTACAGGTATTTGTGTTCAACATGTAAGAAGTAGAAAGTACAGGTATTTGGGTTCAACGTGTAAGAAGTAGAAAGTACAGGTATTTGTGTTCAAATGTAAGAAGTAGAAAGTACAGGTATTTGAGTTCAACATGTAAGAAGTAGAAAGTACAGGTATTTGAGTTCAACATGTAAGAAGTAGAAAGTACAGGTATTTGTGTTCAACATGTAAGAAGTAGAAAGTACAGGTATTTGTGTTCAACATGTAAGAAGTAGAAAGTACAGGTATTTGTGTTCAACATGTAAGAAGTAGAAAGTACAGGTATTTGGGTTCAACATGTAAGAAGTAGAAAGTACAGGTATTTGGGTTCAACATGTAAGAAGTAGAAAGTACAGGTATTTGTGTTCAACATGTGAGAAGTAGAAAGTACAGGTATTTGAGTTCAACATGTAAGAAGTAGAAAGTACAGGTATTTGAGTTCAACATGTAAGAAGTAGAAAGTACAGGTATTTGTGTTCAACATGTAAGAAGTAGAAAGTACAGGTATTTGAGTTCAACATGTAAGAAGTAGAAAGTACAGGTATTTGAGTTAACATGTAAGAAGTAGAAAGTACAGGTATTTGTGTTCAACATGTAAGAAGTAGAAAGTACAGGTATTTGGGTTCAACATGTAAGAAGTAGAAAGTACAGGTATTTGTGTTCAACATGTAAGAAGTAGAAAGTACAGGTATTTGTGTTCAACATGTAAGAAGTAGAAGTACAGGTATTTGGGTTCAACATGTAAGAAGTAGAAAGTACAGGTATTTGTGTTCAACATGTAAGAAGTAGAAAGTTCAGGTATTTGGGTTCAACGTGTAAGAAGTAGAAAGTACAGGTATTTGTGTTCAAAATGTAAGAAGTAGAAAGTACAGGTATTTGAGTTCAACATGTAAGAAGTAGAAAGTACAGGTATTTGTGTTCAACATGTGAGAAGTAGAAAGTACAGGTATTTGAGTTCAACATGTAAGAAGTAGAAAGTACAGGTATTTGTGTTCAACATGTAAGAAGTAGAAAGTACAGGGTATTTGTGTTCAACATGTGAGAAGTAGAAAGTACAGGTATTTGTGTTCAACATGTAAGAAGTAGAAAGTACAGGTATTTGAGTTCAACATGTGAGAAGTAGAAAGTACAGGTATTTGTGTTCAACATGTAAGAAGTAGAAAGTACAGGTATTTGTGTTCAACATGTAAGAAGTAGAAAAGTACAGGTATTTGTGTTCAACATGTAAGAAGTAGAAAGTACAGGTATTTGGGTTCAACATGTAAGAAGTAGAAAGTACAGGTATTTGAGTTCAACATGTAAGAAGTAGAAAGTACAGGTATTTGAGTTCAACATGTAAGAAGTAGAAAGTACAGGTATTTGTGTTCAACATGTAAGAAGTAGAAAGTACAGGTATTTGTGTTCAACATGTAAGAAGTAGAAAGTACAGGTATTTGTGTTCAACATGTAAGAAGTAGAAAGTACAGGTATTTGTGTTCAACATGTAAGAAGTAGAAAGTACAGGTATTTGGGTTCAACATGTAAGAAGTAGAAAGTACAGGTATTTGTGTTCAACATGTAAGAAGTAGAAAGTACAGGTATTAGTGTTCAAAATGTAAGAAGTAGAAAGTACAGGTATTTGGGTTCAACATGTGAGAAGTAGAAAGTACAGGTATTTGTGTTCAACATGTAAGAAGTAGAAAGTACAGGTATTAGTGTTCAAAATGTAAGAAGTAGAAAGTACAGGTATTTGGGTTCAACATGTGAGAAGTAGAAAGTACAGGTATTTGTGTTCAACATGTAAGAAGTAGAAAGTACAGGTATTTGTGTTCAACATGTAACAAGTAGAAAGTACAGGTATTTGTGTTCAACATGTAAGAAGTAGAAAGTACAGGTATTTGTGTTCAACATGTAAGAAGTAGAAAGTACAGGTATTTGAGTTCAACATGTAAGAAGTAGAAAGTACAGGTATTTGTGTTCAAACATGTAAGAAGTAGAAAGTACAGGTATTTGTGTTCAACATGTAAGAAGTAGAAAGTACAGGTATTTGAGTTCAACATGTGAGAAGTAGAAAGTACAGGTATTTGTGTTCAACATGTAAGAAGTAGAAAGTACAGGTATTTTGTGTTTCAACATGTAAGAAGTAGAAAGTACAAGGTATTTGAGTTCAACATGTAAGAAGTAGAAAGTACAGGTATTTGAGTTCAACATGTGAGAAGTAGAAAGTACAGGTATTTGTGTTCAACATGTAAGAAGTAGAAAGTACAGGTATTTGTGTTCAACATGTAAGAAGTAGAAAGTACAGGTATTTGTGTTCAAACATGTAAGAAGTAGAAAGTACAGGTATTGGGTTCAACATGTAAGAAGTAGAAAGTACAGGTATTTGAGTTCAACATGTAAGAAGTAGAAAGTACAGGTATTTTGAGTTCAACATGTAAGAAGTAGAAAAGTACAGGTATTTGTGTTCAACATGTAAGAAGTAGAAAGTACAGGTATTTGTGTTCAACATGTAAGAAGTAGAAAGTACAGGTATTTGTGTTCAACATGTAAGAAGTAGAAAGTACAGGTATTTGTGTTCAACATGTAAGAAGTAGAAAGTACAGGTATTTGGGTTCAACATGTAAGAAGTAGAAAGTACAGGTATTTGTGTTCAACATGTAAGAAGTAGAAAGTACAGGTATTAGTGTTCAAAATGTAAGAAGTAGAAAGTACAGGTATTTGGGTTCAACATGTGAGAAGTAGAAAGTACAGGTATTTGTGTTCAACATGTAAGAAGTAGAAAGTACAGGTATTAGTGTTCAAAATGTAAGAAGTAGAAAGTACAGGTATTTGGGTTCAACATGTGAGAAGTAGAAAGTACAGGTATTTGTGTTCAACATGTAAGAAGTAGAAAGTACAGGTATTTGTGTTCAACATGTATACAAGTAGAAAGTACAGGTATTTGTGTTCAACATGTAAGAAGTAGAAAGTACAGGTATTTGTGTTCAACATGTAAGAAGTAGAAAGTACAGGTATTTGAGTTCAACATGTAAGAAGTAGAAAGTACAGGTATTTGTGTTCAACATGTAAGAAGTAGAAAGTACAGGTATTTGTGGTCAACATGTAAGAAGTAGAAAGTACAGGTATTTGTGTTCAACATGTAAGAAGTAGAAAGTACAGGTATTTGTGTTCAACATGTAAGAAGTAGAAAGTACAGGTATTTGTGTTCAACATGTAAGAAGTAGAAAGTACAGTAATTGGAGTTCAACATGTAAGAAGTAGAAAGTACAGGTATTTGTGTTCAACATGTAAGAAGTAGAAAGTACAGGTATTTGTGTTCAACATGTGAGAAGTAGAAAGTACAGGTATTTGTGTTCAAAATGTAAGAAGTAGAAAGTACAGGTATTTGAGTTCAACATGTAAGAAGTAGAAAGTACAGGTATTAGTTTTCAAAATGTAAGAAGTAGAAAGTACAGGTATTAGTGTTCAAAATGTAAGAAGTAGAAAGTACAGGTATTAGTTTTCAAAATGTAAGAAGTAGAAAGTACAGGTATTAGTGTTCAAAATGTAAGAAGTAGAAAGTACAGGTATTTGAGTTCAACATGTAAGAAGTAGAAAGTACAGGTATTAGTTTTCAAAATGTAAGAAGTAGAAAGTTCAGGTATTTGAGTTCAACATGTGAGAAGTAGAAAGTACAGGTATTTGAGTTCAACATGTAAGAAGTAGAAAGTACAGGTATTTGAGTTCAACATGTAAGAAGTAGAAAGTACAGGTATTTGAGTTCAACATTTAAGAAGTAGAAAGTACAGGTATTAGTGTTCAAAATGTAAGAAGTAGAAAGTACAGGTATTTGAGTTCAAAATGTAAGAAGTAGAAAGTACAGGTATTTGAGTTCAACATGTAAGAAGTAGAAAGTACAGGTATTTGTGTTCAACATGTAAGAAGTAGAAAGTTCAGGTATTTGAGTTCAAAATGTAAGAAGTAGAAAGTACAGGTATTTGTGTTCAACATTTAAGAAGTAGAAAGTACAGGTATTAGTTTTCAAAATGTAAGAAGTAGAAAGTACAGGTATTAGTGTTCAAAATGTAAGAAGTAGAAAGTACAGGTATTTGAGTTCAAAATGTAAGAAGTAGAAAGTACAGGTATTTGTGTTCAACATGTAAGAAGTAGAAAGTACAGGTATTTGTGTTCAACATGTAAGAAGTAGAAAGTTCAGGTATTTGAGTTCAAAATGTAAGAAGTAGAAAGTACAGGTATTTGTGTTCAACATTTAAGAAGTAGAAAGTACAGGTATTAGTTTTCAAAATGTAAGAAGTAGAAAGTACAGGTATTAGTGTTCAAAATGTAAGAAGTAGAAAGTACAGGTATTTGAGTTCAAAATGTAAGAAGTAGAAAGTTCAGGTATTTGTGTTCAACATGTAAGAAGTAGAAAGTACAGGTATTTGTGTTCAACATGTAAGAAGTAGAAAGTACAGGTATTTGGGTTCAACATGTGAGAAGTAGAAAGTACAGGTATTTGTGTTCAACATGTAAGAAGTAGAAAGTACAGGTATTAGTGTTCAAAATGTAAGAAGTAGAAAGTACAGGTATTTGAGTTCAACATGTAAGAAGTAGAAAGTACAGGTATTAGTGTTCAAAATGTAAGAAGTAGAAAGTACAGGTATTTGTGTTCAACATGTAAGAAGTAGAAAGTACAGGTATTTGAGTTCAACATGTAAGAAGTAGAAAGTACAGGTATTTGAGTTCAACATGTAAGAAGTAGAAAGTACAGGTATTTGAGTTCAACATGTAAGAAGTAGAAAGTACAGGTATTTGGGTTCAACATGTAAGAAGTAGAAAGTACAGGTATTAGTGTTCAAAATGTAAGAAGTAGAAAGTACAGGTATTTGAGTTCAACATGTAAGAAGTAGAAAGTACAGGTATTTGGGTTCAACATGTAAGAAGTAGAAAGTACAGGTATTAGTGTTCAACATGTAAGAAGTAGAAAGTACAGGATTTTTGTTCAACATGTAGAAGTAAAGTACAGGTATTTGAGTTCAACATGTAAGAAGTAGAAAGTACAGGTATTTGGGTTCAACATGTAAGAAGTAGAAAGTACAGGTATTTGTGGTTCAACATGTAAGAAGTAGAAAGTACAGGTATTTGGTGTTCAACATTTGAGAAGTAGAAAGTACAGGTATTTGGTGTTCAACATGTAGAAGTAGAAAGTACAGGTATTTGTGTTCAACATGTAAGAAGTAGAAAGTACAGGTATTTGTGTTCAACATGTAAAAGTAGAAAGTACAGGTATTTGTGTTCAACATGTAAGAGTAGAAAGTACAGGTATTTGTGTTCAACATGTAAGAAGTAGAAAGTACAGGTATTTGGGTTCAACATGTAAGAAGTAGAAAGTACAGGTATTTGTGTTCAACATGTAAGAAGTAGAAAGTACAGGTATTTGTGTTCAACATGTAAGAAGTAGAAAGTACAGGTATTTGTGTTCAACATGTAAGAAGTAGAAAGTACAGGTATTTGTGTTCAACATGTAAGAAGTAGAAAGTACAGGTATTTGTGTTCAACATGTAAGAAGTAGAAAGTACAGGTATTTGTGTCAACATGTAAGAAGTAGAAAGTACAGGTATTTGTGTTCAACATGTAAGAAGTAGAAAGTACAGGTATTTGTGTTCAACATGTAAGAAGTCAAAGTAAAAAGTCATCAGAAAAATAAGTAGTGGAGTAAAGTACTGATACCAGAAACATTTACTTAAGTACAGTAACAAAGTATTTGTACTCCACTACTTCCCACCTCTGGTCAGTACATTTAAAACAGATTTAGATTTTTAGATACTTTTTTCTGCCTCAGAATGTGTTTTTTGACTTTTTGTTTGCATAGACGTATTACAAATATCAAAACTAATATTATTGTGTACATTTTTCGTTTTCCACTAGCGACTACAGTCCACTCCAGCCAAGCTCCCTAGCCACAACGCTGTTCAGCAGACAAACGCTGAAAATCATTGCCAACAGAATGTGGGATTTTTAAAACAGCAAGAGACAAAGGTGAGAATTAAAGTAAAATATGTTTCGTCTGAATTTGCCGCCAGATTCAAAGTAGCCGTTTTCTTTGTGTGTTTTCTGTGTTACGGCACAATCGCCTGTCTTAATTCAAAGCAGAAAACAGAAACATAACCTTACCATAGTCCACCAATATCAATATATTTGAAAGGATGGTATTAATGAAAATGGACAGAGCAGTCTGTTAGACATGAGGCCTGCTCCGCTGAGTCCGATCGATATTAACTGCTGGAGACAGTCTTACAGTAGATAAGAGTCTCTGACACTAGCCCGATGCTAATTATTAATGCTCAGCTAATTACTCTAACGTCATCTTCCCATTACCGTGATGTATGTTGTGAACAGGAGGAACAAAAACTCCACTGCGTCGCGGCTAATTGAGATGTAGAGAATCTGCAGGTGTGCTGGAAAATGTGCAGATTTGGAAAATGCTGTCATCAGCTGTCTTTGCCGACTCCTCTTATCGCACTCTGAGGAGACAGAAATTATAAGTGATTTCAGATGTTACTAAAATAACTAGTTCTGCTGCCTTTTAATTATTTGTCCTTATCGTTAACGGGAAAACATTTTTTAACCCCTTTCCTTATATTGCACTGTTTTCTTACTCTCTTCGGTCTTCATTGCCCGTTCAGCAATCCTTATTGAATCCAAAGTTTCATGCTCCTGCAATATTAAAAATGTAATATTAAAAAAAGTATTCCAGTGTTTTCTGAGTATTAGATGGAAAACTAGTACGTTTTTTTAGCAACAGCTGACGTTAAATTGAATAGACTTATTTCTGCTGATATGCCTGCACATCGTCCTACTGTATGTTCAGAGCGTTCTTAGCAACGGTCTGCTTTAACAAACTGCTGAAATTCCAAATTGACCAACCAGAATGGATTATCCAACCAAACTGTTAAATAATCCTGATTATTTGTTATCATATCTTATTTTTTTAATATTTATATCTTATTATCCTTGTTTGAGCTGGTATTTGTGACTGTTATTATGCAATGTTTTGTTGTTGTTGTGCTATTACATTACATTACATTTAGCTAACGCTTTTGTCCAAAGCGACTTACAATAAGTACATTCGACCAGGAAGACACAACCTTGAAGAAAACAGAATCATATAAGTACATCAGGTTTCATAGAGCCAAACATTTCAAGTGCTACTCAACTGGCTTTAGGTAAGCCAGTCCTTTATTAGTATATAAGTGCTTTGTTAATAATTCTAACGCTCGAAGTGGAGTCGAAAGAGATGAGTTTTCAGTTTGCGCCGGAAGATGTGCAAGCTATCTGCCGTCCTGATGTCAATGGGGAGCTCATTCCACCATCTTGGAGCCAGGATAGCAAACCCACATGTTTTTGCTGATGGGAACTTGGGTCCCCCTCGCAGTGAGGGCGCAGCGAGTCGTTTGGCTGATGCAGAGCGTAGTGCACGCGCTGGGGTGTACGGTTTAACCATGTCCTGGATGTAGGAAGGGCCAGATCCATTCGCAGCATGGTACGCAAGTACCAGTGTCTTGAAGTGGATTCTAGCAGTTACCGGAAGCCAGTGAAGGGAGCGGAGGAGCGGAGTGGTGTGGGAAAATTTAGGAAGGTTACTGCTCTGAACCTAAACTTCCCTACTGGGATTAATAAAGCTTGTTATGTTTTCTTATCGTATTTTATGTTATCTCATCTTCTCGTATTTGATCCTTAACTTTGTTCTGATTTGTATCCACAGAATGGGGGACCTCAGGAGTCTGTAGTCCATCAGCAGGACGTTTCTCAGTGTCTGTCTGCCCCCCCCAGCCTGCAGCCTTTCTTTAAGGACCAGGAGAGTTCTCCTTCAGGGAAATACTCACCTCCTTCTCAAACCGTAAGTAATGTGCAGATGACATGGACAATCTATCAAGATGACTGACAAATGATTTTGTTAATACTTCAGATGCACAGGTAACTAATGTTTCCCTTTTCTCTCTCCCTCCTCCTCTCCTCCAGGAGTTGTGTCCCAGTCTGGATGTCTTGTTCAGTCCTCTGTCTCCAGCTTCAATTTGGACCACTGCCTCATCGCCTGATAACAAAGTATGATGCATCTCAGGTTTAATGTTATCATTGTACAACATTGATTAAATCGTCTTAATCCACATTTAACTACAGTTTATAGAAAAGAGAGTTCAACCCGATGCTATTTCTGATCATGATGGTTTGGTGTGAGTTGCCTAGCTGTACATTTCTCGGCCTAAATATAATAAAACCTGTTGGCACTCTGCAGCAATGTGTCTTTCAGGAAATCATGACCCAATTATTCAAGATATTCCACAGCGCTTGCAGTTTAATGTAGGAACTATTTTACCATCTACCGAACCCCACCCACCATCGTATCCCCGCACAGAAAGAAATGTTTCCTATTCCTGGACCAAATTAGTGCGGGATGCGATATGTCTTTGCTTCCTCCTCGCCTTAGCTGTAATGTTAGCTATTTAAGAGAGAAACATATAGATTAAAAAACAGCACCACAGGAAGAGGACACATGTGTTTTTGACTGTGTTGTTTTTGACTCTATCTTTTCTCATGTAACAACAAGTGCTTGTGGCATCTTGTTATGAGCAATGTTACATTTAAACACAGTTGTAACGAGATGTTTCTTCTGTGTGTGTCCTCAGGATACAGAGCCTGAAGAGGATTTTATTGACATCATTTTGCAGACAGGAGGTAAGCTGCAACAATATTGTTTGATTACTTTAAATGAGTGTTTTTAAATGCCATTTTGTAACTTCTTAATGCTCTTAATGTCTTTTTTGTAAAGCACTTTGAATTGCCTTGTGTTGAAAGCTGCTATATAAATAAACTTGCCTTGCTGTGTAATGCTGTGTTTATTTAATCAGCAGTTTAATCTAATTACATCAGGATTGACGCCCATATCTGTGTGTTTCCCTTCAGAAATGTCGACCACCGACAAACCAGCACCAGACTTTTCTCCCCACCATGTTCACCCACACTCCCCTCGGCCTCCCTCCCCTCTCCACCTGCTGCTCTCCCCCCCTGCCCCAGCCATCTGTGACACCTTGCAGTCTGAGCTCCAGGCCTTTGACGACACCACAGAAGAAAAACAACACCTCGGTAGCGCTGGGAATGGCCGCCTGGAGGACTTCCTGGAAAGCACCACTGGGAAGCCTCTCCTGGGGGGGGAGCCTGGGGGTCTGCTGACTCTGATCGATGACCTCCACAGTCACATGCTGTGCACCCCCAGCATCCTGGACCGCCCCCTGTCGCCCCTGGATACCTTCGACATGGCAGCGGAGGGGGAGTCGGGGCTGGACTGCATGGATTGGTTGGACCTTACCATGGGAAGAGAGAGGGAGGAGGAGACCCCCACTCTGGCCCCTCTTGGCCCACAGACACCACCAAGTGTCTTTTGTGCCGACTTCCTAGACACCTATGACCTAATTTAGTCACTTGTTAGCAAACTGCTGTTTTAAAGGTCACCTATTATGCAAAATCCACTTGTTCATGTCTCTTCTACATCAACATGTGTCCCCTCTGTGGAAAGAGACTCTGAAAGTTTCAGGAACAAAGGCTCTCTCTCTTTTTGTCCTGATCCATTTCTATAAAAACCTGTCTGAAAATGAGCTGATCAGATTTTGGCCACTTTATGATGTCATAACGATTTTTTGGCTTGTGTAACCATTAGCCAATCAGCAACCAAGGTAACCCCCCCACACCTTATCACCTGAATCTCCTCCTAGAGCACCAAGTGTTTTTTTTAACCAAATGTCTCTCAGAGGGGCGTGGGGAGGGGCTCCTTATTTTCATCTAAAGTAACAGACAGAGAATCAGCACGTTTGAAACAGGGCTGAAACAGAGGGGATTATGGGTAATGCTGCAATGATCTGTTTGGTGTTTGGAGCCAAACACTTCAGAGACATGTTTTGTATATATCTGAGACCTGTGATATATTGATGAAAAACAGTATAATAGGGACCTTTAATGACACATAGAAGCTTCAGTGGGGTATTTACTGACCTATTTTAGGTCATAGAACAAACCGTGAAAATCTTGTGAGCTGAGATCTCTTTTCGGGCATCAACCAAACACATTTTCAAAAACCCATTGACTCTGAAGAATAGGGAACCATGCTAACTCGTCTCCGGGTTTTAGGACTCATTCCTGCACCACTTTATGGCCTATAGCAAAACAATATGCACACTCACTTACTGTACAGGGCCACACATGCATACAAAAGTATGTCATTGATTGCTGAGGCTTCAGTATCTGATCACAGAGCTCTCACTCTATCCTCTCACGTACTGGTGTATTGAACTTTCAAGCTCTTTATTTATTTCATTTACACACGGATGTATTGACTTTATTAGGCAGGTCCTATATCTGTTCTTGCTGCTTTAGCAACAGTTTTATCAACACATTTCGGACCCGATAAATGATGAGAAAAATGTAACCATGGATCTGTTGCTTGAACTTAAATTCATCTTTTCTCGGCACCAGTGAAGGAGTGTTTATTGGACCTTTGTCTAATAAGGACTGCAAATCCGTAGTTGCCTGTAAAGATTATCAATGATCGACCACTACAGCGGATCTATACCCAAAGTTAAGTTGAAGGACACCTTTTCTTTTCAGCAACATAATAGTTTATGGGGATGGAGGAGAGATTTTTGCAGCCAAACGATATGACCATGACTTTGAAAAGACGTTGTGGTTTGATATACATTTTCAACGGTGTTATAGCTAATCATTTCTTCTGGGTGTACGCCTGTAGCTGATGTGTGTGTGTATGAAAGCACAGGTTTCTTTGGACACTTGCCTTAAAATCTGCCATTTTGTATTTGTACTCCCTTTCTGTTTGCACTTAAATTCACGAGTACACACATAGTATAAAAAGAAAAGGTCAACTCCCGCACCTTTAGATTATGGAAGTTATAATTTAGATGTTGCTGTTAAAGAGGTCCTATTGTGTTTCCCTTTCCTTTAGTGTGTTATAGGTGTTTGTGCATGTTAAGGCATGGAGACATGTCACGGTAGAGACACAACATACAAATATGAACCTGAGAATGAGCATTATTGGGCCGCTTTAATGCTGATATTTGGCTATCCTGTACTGCATCAGTACTTGTGATAATGGGGATGTATTTATATCCTTTCAGTTTTAAAACTGACTGAATGTATTATAAGATGCATTTATTTGTATAGTGGCTGTTTTTTAGTTTGTGTCTGTGCAACACAAAAAGTGTTTTTTCTGGCAAAATGGCTGTTTGCCAAAACCTCTCTTGAGACTGCAAACACATTGTCACGTCTTAGGAATTTGTATATTTTAAAGTGTTATGCATTTGTCACCACAGACAAACTAAATCATACTTTCTTGTTTTATAATCTAGCTGCTTATATGATAGATTCACACATTTTGAAATATTAAACAACATACCCATATGAACATTAATATTTTATTTCTGTTGAAATCATCCCCTCTGTTCATTCTGGCGATCAAGAGATCCCTAATGCCAGCCATCGGCTAAATACTTCAAACTCATTTATTTTGTAATAGTTGTTGATTTTTTAAGGACGTTAAGTGCTCTATCAAAGTCAGTTATGCTGTATTAACCTTGTAAGTGTTGAACCTCCACATGTCAATGATTGTGAAAGCATTGCGATAACGTTTTCTGTAGTTTTGTGCAAATGGCTTACGCTTCTGTGTAGGGAAATTGTGATTTTTGTTTTTTCTAAAATTGAAAGGAAATAGTTGGTCAGAGAAAAGATAATAAAGTCTGGTTTGGTGAATTCAGATTTTTTTTTTTATTAGATAAACATTTTTGGTACAACTCAACATGTGGTAAACGTTCATACAACTAACCCGTTTCATTATGTTAATCAGAGGCATGGCTGCTTTGATTGACAGGTGCATGGGAGCTGTAGCAGAGCCAAACACATTGCAACCTTCTGCCCTACTAGGTCCTGATAATCCACTTCCTCTAACATGCATAGCCTGTCATGAGCCAGAAGTGTAAGATTAGGGTAACACAAAGGTCCACACACACAAAATGTATTAACACACACAAACACACACATGCAACCCTAAATCCAACACTTTAATGTTGGACTCAGTTTACAAGAAGTGTTGCCGCTGGGCATGTTCAAGTCATTTTGCAGATGCTTTGATGCATCTCAGCGCAGCAATGGGGGGTATGCTGTGCTGTGGTAGTTGCAAACACACACACACACACACACACACACACACACACACACACAAACAAATGCATGCACAAACACAAAGAAAGTAAACAAGGATTAATACTTAAACACAGGAGAGCACAAATACATACATGTATAAACACACCTAGAGGGGAGAAGTGGTTACATGGTGAGGATGGGGCACAGGTTTAACACATGTTACTTCAAGGCAGTGGTTCTCAAAGTAGGGGGCATGCCAGGGGGGGCCGCGAGAGACCAGGAGGAAAAGTGGTTATTAAAAAAAAAGATCATAATTTGAAAAATTATTGATTCCAAAATAATATGATGCAGTACTATTACGTCTGGGTCTCTGTGTTTCATTAAAGCTCGGCTCTGTGCGTGTGTGTGGAACGAGCCATTTTGTGTGCGCGAGTGAGAGAGAGAGCGCACCGGTACCGGAGATTGTTGTTGTTAGCTTCTGGTGCTAGCGAGCTACGCTAACGGATATAAGGAGTTTTTTCAACAACAAAGTGGAGGAGAGTCCTCTCCTGTCAGACTGAGAGACTCAGTGAGCTAAAGGACTCTCAGTGTTATCTCAGTGGGTCTCAAACGTTTTGGACACCATTAATGTAAACAGTTATTTCCGAGGCACACGTTTATATGATCATTATAGTTATAAAAAAATAAGAGAATAAATGAAAAACAGCTATAAAATACTATATGACAGTAAAACAAGAATAAAGGGTGATTTGTAAAATATCCATAAAGAAAAAGTAAATCTGTTTACAGTTCTGTTTCATCTGGGTGTTGAGAGAGGTATCCATAGATCTCTTCATTTTGCTCTCAAAGTGCACCAGATTGATGCTTTTAACTTCAATATTTAAAAATAAATCTTCCCGGGGGAGCATGCACCCGGACCCCCCTATGTGAGGTCCACACACCACCTATAAAAATAGCACTTGACCCCTGCTTACACCTATAGGCCTATGCCGTGAGCTGATTATCGAGCCTTCATTGTAACAGTTTTAGCCGGGCCGGCTCAGATGATTGGTCGTTCTTTTTACAGTACTACAGCTTCCACTGATGACATTTTTCATGGATTTTTTGTCAAAGCACTTCAGATATTCATTGCTATCGGGATGTTAAGAGCATTCCATGGAATATAACAAAAAGTGTATCTCGAGCCGGTTTCTCAAACTTACCTACCCCACCTTTAAAAAAAAAACTAAAAAAAACGTTGTTAATCGTAGTAATGCAGATTGTCATCCATTTTCTGATGGTAATAACTTGTTCAGTAATCTGCCATGTTTATGTTTTGTTTATGATCATTCAAGTGTTGAAAATTATACACCTGTTCATATTTCAATTTTTTCTGAACACTATAATCAATCAATGTCAAACAAACTCATACACATAAACATTTTCTGATCTGACGCCACTACCAACAGGACGACATTACGAAAGTTTCGGGTCAAAATATTTACCTGCTTAAAGTTAGCACACAGCCTCAAAAGACATTCATATTAATGTCTCCTAATCCTTCACACGGATCATAATTCCTACGGCCACTAGAGGGCTTTAACATGTTGTTTTGGCTTTTTTTCTGAAAGGACTGATCATGGTTACGTTACAGGCAGGGGCGGATCTACCGGGGTGGCATGGGGTGGCAACTGCCACCCTAAACAATAGCCTTGCCACCCCAGCTGCCACCCCAGTTGGGATCTTTGTTTTGAAAGAAAAGTTGTTGCTCATCGGACATTTATGAGAGAAAATCTCTAATGTCCGAGTGCAAGTGAATGCAGCACAAGATGCACGTCATGTAACCCCTCCCCCGGTCCTGGCTCCTGGCGCGAGAGTGGAAATATGATTGGTGGCGAATTCACTTGAACGGGGGACGGCGCAAAACGAGAAGCCTTTCGGACCCAAGCACTGAAGGAATGAGGTGCGGTCTACACTGACAGAGAAGAGACTGTCAGTTTGGCTGTACTCAGCATTGAATCAAAACGCACTACAGCTGTTGATCTTAATACGTTTGTGAGGCGTTTTGCTGAACAAAATAGTAATCGCCGCATTCAGCTGTAATAGACATGCCAACTTGATGCTCTGCTCACGGATGACTCGATGAGAATAACAAACTGTTAAGATGATGACCTTGTATGCGTGTATATATTTTTTTCTTTGAGGGGGTCTGCCCCCAAAAAACAGTTTTAAGTCCTGAGAAAGTAAAATAAGACGGTGTGTAAAACTACACTGCCCAGCCAACAGAAAGTAACCACTTTGATTTAACTAGGCCAGTAGGTAACGACCTTCCACTGGATAATAACTGCAGCGATGTTTTAGCTGAATACACGTTTTCTAACCCTAACTGATGCAGTTAGTCACTTCTTTAATG